AGAGATGAGAGCCAGTATTTTGGTAAAGGTCTTAGTCTTTCTGGCTTTAACACAGAAAGTCTTAATACCATTTGGATTAAAGATTCACAAGTTAGGCCAGGCGTGGTGGCTCATGCCTGTAATCCCAGCTACTCTGAAGGCCAAGGTAGGAGAATGGCGTGAACCCAGGAGGCAGAGCTTGCAGTGAGCCAAGATCACACCACTGCACTCCAGCCTGGGCAACAGAGTGAGACTCCGTCTCAAAAAAAAAAAAAAAAAAGAAAAAAGATTCACAAGTTAAAAATTATGGCCTAAAAATTAAGTTTCCAGCTGGGCACGGTGGCTCATGAATGTAATCCCAGCACTTTGGAAGGCTGAGGCGGGCAGATCATGAGATCAGGAGTTCAAGACCAGCCTGGCCAACATGGTGAAACCCCATCTCTACTAAAAAATACAAAAATTAGCTGGGCATAGTGGTGCGTGCCTGTAATCCCAGTTACTGGAGAGGCTGAGGCAGGAGAACTGCTTGAACCCAGGAGGCGGAGATTGCAGTGAGCAGAGATCACGCCACGGCACTCCAGCCTAGGCAACACAGCAAGACTGTCTCAGAAAAAAAGAAAGAAAGAAATTAAGTTCCCATGAAGCCAAAGACCTTCAATCAGCAAGATGCTATAGAGCAGGGGTCCCCAGCTGCAGGGCTTGTGGTCTGTTACCTGTCTGTGGTCTGTTGGGAATCAAGCCTTCATGGCAAGAGGTGAGCACCAGGGTGGGGAAGGGGGATGGGGCCATGAGCATTAACATCTAAATTGCATCTCCTGTCAGATCATCCATAGCACGTTAGGTTCTCATAGGAGGACGAACCCTATTTTGAACTGTGCATGCAAGGGATCTAGTTTGCACACTTTTTTTTGTGAGAATCTAATACCTGAGAACAGTTTCATTTCAAAACCGTCACCCAAACCCATACCCCCAAACACATGTTAAAATTGTCTTCCATGAAACCAGTCCCTGGTGCCAAAAAGATTGGAGACTGCTGCAGCTACGGGGTACAGAAGTAGCAACTACTTTTTTTTTTGAGACGTAGTCTCCCTCTGTCGCCCCAGGCTGGAGTGCAGTGGCCTGATCTCAGCTCACTGCAAGCTCTGCCTTCCAGGCTTAGGCCATTCTCCTGCCTCGGCCTCCCAAGTAGCTGGGACTACAGGCGCCCCCCACCATGCCCGGCTAATTTTTGTATTTTTAGTAGAGACAGGGTTTCATCGTGTTAGCCAGGGTAGCCTCGATCTCCTGACCTCGTGATCCACCCCCCCTCGGCCTCTTGCTGTTTGCCATGAGCTTACAATCTGGTTTGGAAGACAAACTAAAGCCATTATCAATTATACACATACAACACGACACTGGGATAATACTGTAAAAAATGTTTTATACCTGCTTATTTCACTTATAATACTGTCAACATTTTCCCTACATGTTTAAATATTCTTTGAAGACATAATTTTAAGAAGCTGAATTTGTTATCAATCTCATGGTTGTATTTTGATGTATTTAGCCAATATACTATTCCTGATTATTTAGCTTGCTTCCCATTTTTTTGGCTGCCTGTATACGATGTCTATGAATAATACAAAGTACTTCTAATTAATTCTCTAAGTAATAATAGAATTACTGTGTCGTGGCCGGGCGTGGTGGCTCACGCCTGTAATCCCAGCACTTTAGGAGGCCGATGCAGGTAGATCACGAGGTCAGGAATTCAGACCAGCCTGGTCAATATGGTGAAACCCCCATCTCTACTAAAAAAAAAAAACTTAGCTGGGCACGGTGGCACGCGCCTGTAGTCCCAGCTACTTGGGAGGCTGAGGCATGAGAATGGCTTGAACTCGGGAGGCAGATGTTGCAGCAAGCCGAGATGGTGCCACTGCACTCCAGCCTGGACGACAGAGCGAGACTCCCTCTCCAAAAAAAAAAAAAAAAAAAAAAAAAAAAGATTTGCTGTGTCAGCTGGGTGTGGTGACTCACACCCCTAATATCAGCACTTTGGGAGGCCAACGCAGGTAGATTGCTTGAGGCCAGGGACTCGAGACCAACCTGGCCAACACGGTGAAACCCCATCTCTACTAAAAATACAAAAAATTCGCCAGGCGTGGTGGCGCACGCCTATAATCCCAGCTACTCCGGAGGCTGAGGCGGGAAGATCACTTGAATTCAGGCTGCAGTGAGCTGAGATCGCACCACTGCACTCCAGCCTCGACAATGATAACGATGCAAATTGCCAAAACGTTTTCCAGAAAGGCTGTAACAATTTACATTCCTATTCAGTTTGATTTCCCTCTTTCTTTTTCAAAAGAAATGAAAAACAAGGAAAGGAGGAAGATAAGAATTTTTTTAATGCTCTGTTAATTTGATAAAGGGAAGGCATGACTTTAAGTTACTTATTTATTCAAACATATATTTTATGACTATACATGTTATGAATGCCATTGTATTAATAGTACTTCTGTTTAACTGACCTTACCAACTAGGTCGGCCAGTAGGCCAGTCTTCAAAGCCTCTAGATCCTAAAACCGTGATTTTTAGACTTTTAGGGGGTCATAGAACCCTTTGAGAATCTAATGAAACCTATAATCTTGTACCCAGGAAAATTCACATACACCCAAACACGCTGCCCACAGTTTCCAAAGGCTGATTAACTTTACGGACCCTTCTGTTAGGAACGCATCTCTACAAGTCTATTTTCCTTGGCTATTTCCTCTTAAGAAATAAGACAGACATCCCACTTCCGGGGCCTCGCAGCCCAAAACTAAAACCAAAATCAATTTCAATTCAAAGCATCACAACCACCCACCCAGCTCCAACCAGAGAATCCCTCTGGCTAAGTTAGGGCCGCGCGGGGGCGTTTGCAGTTCATTGATGTCCGGAGATGAAACGTAGCACATGAAACCACTAGGCGTATATATCTTGTCCCTCGGAGAAAGAAAGCACTTACGACACATTTTCATGGCTGTAACCGATTTTGGCGTTGTAAGCTCCGTTATCCAGCACTAAGGTCGTCATTTCACCACCAACCACACCGCAGCCGCCGTTGTTTTCCCTTTCCGACCCCTCTGCTCGAGCTTTTTCCGGTACTCTATGGTTTGTTGGGCGGAGCATTAGGACGCGCCTCTGGTCACCCTAGCAACGGTGAACGCCGGAAGTCGGAGATGCTAAGCAGCACAGACTTAGGGAGTGTCCGCTTTGCTTCCAAACTTAACCTGTTTATGTGGTGGCGAGATTTGACTGCTAAGTGCTTTCTCGCTCATTTCGTATTTGTTTTTAACTGCGCAGATTGATTTGCGCAAGTTTTTTTCTAATCCTGTAGAGAACCGGCTGCGTGATGTGTGTGTGTGCATGTGTGTGTATATGTGTGTGTCTTCCGATAGCATTCTTCAGACGATGACATTCTTTGAAGAAAAAAGTGCAAAACCATACGCAGCAAGAAGGTCTATCGACTGCCTTGCTCTTGGACTCACATTCATGCCGTCCTCTTCCCCATTCCACTTGCTCTTCAGGACGAAGCTGAGTCTTTCTCATCCAAAAATGGCTTTTGGACCGGACGCGGTGGCTCACGCCTGTAATCCCAGCACTTTAGGAGACCGAGGCAAGCAGATCACTTGAGGTCAGGAGCTCGAGACCAGCCTGACCAACACGGCGAAACCCCGTCTCTATTAAAAATTCAAAAAGTAGCCGGGCGAGGTGGCGGGTTCCTGTAATCCCGGGAGGCTGAGGCAGGAGAATTGCTTGAACCCGGGAGGCGGAGGTTGCAGTGAGCCGAGATGGCTCCACTACATTCCAGCCTGGGCGACAGAGCGAGACTCCTGCAGGGCAGGGACTTGGCAGGTGCGGGAGGCAGGACCTGGCCTCCGGGGCGCCGCGGGGGCAACGGTCAGCGGGCGGGGGCAACGGCCAGCGGGCGAGGACAACTGCCAGCGGGCTTGGAGGGGCCGGGAGGCGACTGCAAGTCCCAGGCCACTTTGAGCGCTTGCGGGAGGAGCGAGGCAGCGGGGAGCGGCGCCTCGGGGGCAGGGAGCGCAGCAGTGGCAGCGCGAAGGCGCGGGGGCCCGGGCACCTACGGTTGGCTCACAGGCAGCCATACCGGGGCCGGAGCCCGGCCAGAGGAGGGCAGCGACTGCAAGGGGGAGGCCGAAGAGCGCCGGGCGGGTCCCGCGCGGGAACCAGCGCGACTGCGCGGCTATCACAGCAGCCGGTTCGCGTTGGACGCGCGCCGCTGCTGCCTCTGCTACTTCAAGAACCCCCACGACCCGCTGCCCCTCGGTCACCTGGACATAGCGGAAGCCTGCTTCAGCTACCAGTGCGCCGACGAGGCGGTGGAGCAGCCTGCGCACTTCCAGGTGCACAGCGCGGGAGTCGCCAAGGTGCTTGAGGTAGGACCGCGCGCCCTGCAACCGCCTGGGCGCTTCTGTCGGCGCCCCCTGCCTCGCCTGCGGGCCTGCCCCATCCACCCTCCTTTCTCCAAGGCCTCCTCGCACCCTGCCCACGTCGGCCTGCCTTTCCCCACTTCTCCACATCCCGTCCTTGTTCCTATCTCCTCCCCTCCACCTGGGTTTAGGCCAGTGTGGCTGGGGCTACCCAGCCCCGTCTCCTTCTTCAGACCCTTTGACCCATTATCTCCCTCTGCGCCTTCCCTCTGGCCCCTCTCTAGTGTCCTCTCACCCCCAGCATCCCGTGGATGTCCAGTGCAGCTTCTCAAGCATTCATAACCGTAGGTTTCTGCCCCCGGGGCCTCCGTTAGAACTCTGCTAGGACCTTGATACATCAGTTAACCGCTCTGCGCTTCAGCCTCCTCTAAAATGGGGTAGCAGTAGTATCTATATCATGGGGTGTTGAGGTTAAACTAATTATGCTCTAAATTGCTCAGGAAATATTAGTACATTTATTTTATTTTTATTTATTTGTTCTTTTTGTGATAGGATCTCGCTCTGTTGCCCAGACTGGAGTGCAGTGGTGTGATCTCAGCTAACTGCAGCCTGGATGCCTAAGCTCAAGTGATCCTCCCACCTCAGCCTCCCAAGTAGCTGGGACCACAGGTGCGGGGCCATGCCTGGCTAATTAAAAAAAAAATTTTGTGTGTGTGTGGAGATGGGAGGTCTCGCTATGTTGCTCAGGCTAGTTTCGAACTCCTGAACTCAAACCATCCTCCCCACTCGGCTTCCCGGGATTCCAGACGTGAGCCACAGTGCATTTACCACCACAGACAAAAAGAGTCAGAAATGGCAGGGCCCTTAGAGATATTCCACTACATTTCCCCCGAGTGTGCAGGGCTGCTCCAGCTAAGGTCACACAGGCAGTAAGTGGCAGAGCCTGTTTTCTTGCTCCTTGTTTTGTCCAGAAGAGGTGGGAGGAGGTCACTTCAGCCAGTTAGGCCTTGCTCCTTGGAGGTTCTTTTAATCCTCCAGCGAAGAGACATAATGGGAAAAATAAGGTAGAAGCGAGAGAGTAGAGTCAGGAGTCCTGGTGCTGAGAGGCCTCCCCTTTCCTTGGGAGTCCTTAGCGGGCTAGACTCAGTCACCTCCTAGGGGTCCACCTGCTTCGAGCACCTGGAGGGATCTGGGCCCAGGTCTGCAGCCCAGTATCCTTTCTCCAGGCTGTGCTCCCTGCCTGGTTCCGGTGAACCTCTACCTTCACTCTCACTCTTCTGCATGGCAGGCTCCGCTTTCTCTAGGGCAGCAGGTTTGGGCTGGGATGTATGAAAGCACTCTCAAAGCTGGCCATGCGGAGAGCAGAGTAGGCCATGCGGAGAGCAGAGTAGGCAGCCTCTTGGCCCTGTGAGCACAGGACTGTTCCTCCGACCCCCAGAGCTGCTAACAGCTGGAGCTGCCCCCAGAGATGTTCTCAGAGCTTTGTCGACTCAGCTTTTGCCAATTCAAGCAGGATCTGATTCCCATGTTCTCTCGGGCTCCTCTGTCCTGTCTGTAAGTGGGCGCAGACAGCCTATTTCCCTGAAGGAAGCCAACTAGGTTTGCAGTCGTACTCAGGCTTACTTCGTGCCTGTATAAACTTGGGAATGACCCCAGTGGAGGACCTTTGCCAAAGGTAGAGGCTCTTCCTCAGTGTATACACGGACTGTCCCCATGTCAGGTGAATTTCCTATGGGATGTTTGTTAACAAAGAAAATAGAGTGTCATGTTTCAGATTTTTCTCAGATGACTGTAGAGCCCTATATCAATTTTTTCGTTAAAAAGAAAATCTGAATCTACACAAATGGGGCTACAAGGCATATTGTCAGGAGCATGGCTTTAGACTTGGATGGGCTTGAACTTGAAGCAGGAGTCTGTTGCTCACACGTATTGGACAAGTTACACCACGTCCCAGTTCGTCTTTGGTCTAATGGGAATCTCACCTTCCTCATTAGTGGTTGTGAGGATTCTGGAGAATGTTATGGAAATGGCTGGCACATTTTCCATAGTGGTATGGAAAATAGTAGGCACTACATGGCATATGAAACATCAAGCGGTGTCTTTGGCCAAATATGTAGTATATTCATATAATGGAATATTCTGTGGTAGTAAACAGGAACTAGAGCTATAGGTGTCAATGTGGATTACTCTCACAAACATAAAATAGAGCAAGAAATAAGTTACAGACTGATTCTGTTCAGAATGATACCATTTATAGAGAGGTTAAGAAGATCATGTAAAATAGTGCTACAGATCATATTATATACTGTGTCAGGAGGGGAAGAGATGCAAGGGGGTGATGAGCTCTGCTTTCTAGGTGGTGGTTGCCTCTGATGGGAAGAGGTGGGATGTGATTGGGAATGGCTGCCTTGGGGCTGGTGCCTTGTGGCTTCCACTGTTGTTTTGCAGTGTTTTATTTCTTGGACTGGGTGGTAGGGGCATCAGTGTTGGTTGTATTATGCTATCCATCTTTTTTTGTTTTGTTTTGTTTTGTTTTTTGAGACAGAGTTTTGCTCTTGTTGCCTAGACTAGAGTGTAATGGCATGATCTCGGCTCACTGCAACCTCCGCCTCCCGGGTTCAAATGATTCTCCTGCCTCAGCCTCCCAAGTAGCTGGGATTAGAGGCGTGCGCCATCACGCCTGGCTAATGTATCTTTAGTAGACACGGGGTTTCACCATGGTGATCAGGCTGGTCTCAAACTGCTGACTTTTGGTGATCCACCCGCCTTGGCCTCCCAAGGTGCTCGGATTACAGGCATGAGCCACTGTGCCTGGCCGCTATCCATCTTTTTGTAGGTTCAGAATGTTTCTTTTTTTTTAAGAAAAGGAAATGTTTTCCTTTGGGTTGCTGACAATGGAGGAATATTTGACATGTAAAATTAAATTGGTCACAGAATAAGATAGTACCCAAGGCCTCGAGTATTGGCCATATACAACAGTGGAAATGGAAACACAGGCAAGGCTTTCCAAAAGAAGAGAGCAGGGTTTTAGAGTAGAGGTGTTTTTTGTTTGTTTGTTTGTTTTGAGACATTGTTTCGCTCTTGTTGCCCAGAGCTGGAGTGCAATGGTGTGATCTCAGTTCACCGCAACCTCCGTCTCCCAGGTTCAAGCAATTCTCCTGCCTCAGCCTCCCGAGTAGCTGGGATTACAGGTGTGCGCCACCATGCCCCGCTAATTTTTGTACATTTAGTAGAGATGGGGTTTCTCCATGTTGGTCAGGCTGGTCTTAAACTCCCAAACTCAGGTGATCTGCATGCCTTGGCCTCCCAAAGTGCTGGGATTACAGACATGAGCCATTGTGCCCGGCCAGGGGTCTGTTTTAAGAAAGATAAATTTCATTGTACCATTACTTCTTTTGAGCTCTAGCAGTAAAAACTTCATGGTGGTAAATACCACCATAAAGTGGAAATTACCAATTTATCTTCCTTTTCGTCTTTCAGATCCAAGAACTGATTCCCATAAGCCTTAATGTTTCACTTTAGGGCTGCCCAGCCATAGAGGAGACCCTGATTTCTAAGGATTTTTAAGTTAGGATTTTAAGTTAGGATTTAGCCCTGCTCAGACTTCAGCTGAGCTGAAGTCTTTTCAAATACCATTTGAATTTTTTTTACAAATACCATTTCTTTTCACATAGGGTTAAAAAGTAAAGAAAAATCAGCAATTTTCTTATTCTATTATTATACATTTTTCTTATTTTGAAGCATCTTTGAGCCTTCTCTGGAGAAGCTGTGGTTTTGTTGGGCTTTTTCAAAATGTTTTACTATGTGAGTCTTAATGAAAGCTGATACAAGAATTTCTTGGTAAACTCCTCTATTCCAAAACTTAGGGATCTGATCTGGTGTCTTCTTTTACAGATGAGGTAATAGAGGCTAGAAAGGGTATGTAATTTTGCTGATGTCATGAAGCTAGACTCACACCCTCCAGGAACAGTGAATGTCCAAATCGTGGAGTATCTAATTGTATTGTCTGGTCTGACAAATCTAATTTTTTTGACTTTGGATATTAATTGTCTTGGATCAGATAAGGTATAGTAGTCCTTCCTGTTACTTTTTTTGATAGCTGTCTGTTTTGGACAGTATCACCAGGAACATTTTACTGCCCAGTTCTTAACCAGGATGCATAGTAACTTTTACTGGATGTATCTGGAAACTGTTGTAAGGGCGTAGCAGAGACTGATGCTTCCTGTATGTGTCTCTCTCTCTGTGTAAGGGTACTGGAGGCTTCTCGTGGAGCTTTACTGGAATCTGAGGCACTTAGGGGCAGGACAGCCAGCATGTGATTGACTGAGAGTGAAGCTTAAACAGCCTTGCTCTTCCAGATGTCTGCAGTCTTTGGAGCAAGAGAGTGTCATCAGTCAGCCAGCAAATGATTTCTTCCCTCTGCTCTCTTCTTGTAGGTGCTTGGTGCTCAAATGGACATGTGTGTTGGTTTCCGAGCCACATGTAACTGAATAGTTATGTACACCTATTCTTAACCCACTTTTGTGGGAATGCACATTCCCTGTTGTTGAAATTGCTGTTAATGACAAACATTTATTGGCTTGTTAATCAGAGTGTGTTCAGTACAAAATAGATGTGGTGAACCAGCCTTCTTTGCTGTATGGTTCTCTTAAGCTGTTCTACCCTGGGGCATCTGCTCAGTCTTGAAGCATTATTTAACTCTTTAAGTTATGGGGACTTAACTTTTCAAGGCTTTCCCATTAGGAAGTTCCTTCAAGGCAAGTCCAGTATTGTGCTTGTGATACCACAATGGCATTCCATCTTCCACTGCCTCTCACGCAGTCCTGATTGCAGGGGAGTCTCCATCCTATTTCCTACCCGCCAGAGGGTGAGCTCCCTAAGGACTATTTGTATCCTCAGTTCATGCAACAGTATCTGGCACAAAGGAGGCTTGCTATAGACTAGTGTCTGTGTTTGTATTCCTGAAAAAATTCATATGTTGAAGCTCCAACTCCCAATGTGATGATATTTAGAGGTGGGGCCTTTGGGAGGTAATTAGGTCATGAGGGTGGAGACTTCATGAATGGTATTAGTGCCCTTATAAAAGTGACCCTGGAGAGATGATCTCCCTTCTCCACCTATGCGGATACAGCAAAAAGGCATTCCTTTGCAAAGCAGGAAGAGGGCCCTTGCCAGGAACCAAATTGACCAGCACCTTGATTTTGGACATTCTAGTCTTCAGAACTGAGGAATAAATTTGTGTTTTTTAAGCCACTCAGTCTGTGGTGTTTTTGTTATAGTAACCTAAACTGACTAAGGTATGGTGCCCAGGGAGACACTTGCCAAATGAATGAATAGAAAATGCTTACCTAGTAAGCACTGGTTTTGGTGACCCTTTAGAACTGATCAGCCAGAACTCCCAAATGTACAGATGTATTACATGCCATTCTTGCCTCATGTCACAGAGGTGGTGGCCATTCAGTAAATACCAACTGAATAGAACAGATATTAGGCATCCAAAAGGGGGTTATGACTCACCCTTCCCCAGAGAAGAGAGTTTACTTATAGTCAGTTCTGTATTTTCAGGTCTCTTGTATTTCATGCCCATAGTCAGGACCTCGAGGACACTGTTATAGCAGGAGCAAACTATTTATATAAACGGCCACATAGTATTTTGGTTTTGTGCACTC